TGCGAAGCCGGGCTTGAGAAGGCGATGCAAACGGTGCCCCTTGACGCTGTCACGTTCCATTCTCAAGCGCAAAGTGTCGTCTAAGTTTTTCTGTATTGGTTTTGTGTTTAGAACGGTGATGTAGTAACGCACATCAATTAATTCTTCTGTTTTATTTCTGTTTATTGTCTACTTAGCGTTTCGAGTGCAAACTTTGCTAAGGCAGGACTGTCGGAAACGTTGACGACACAACACTCCGCTCTTTTCTGCCACGTGGCTATATATCTCTTAATTCCCTCAACGTCGACAAAAGACTCGAGACATTACCATCCCGCACGGTGGACCGAGACGCTGCACCGACGCACTAAGTCCGTCCGCCTCAACGTTGGACATAACGTCGTGCGGCATAATCCGCGAGTCTAGGCGGCAAATCACGTCCAAAGAGCTTCTCGCCGCGTAAGTGCTCGAAAGCTATGTGTACTCGTATACCGTTGCGCGCGGTAGATGCAGGCTCGTATGGGGGGCGCACTTTTACGTAATTCGCGAGGCAACCCTTTCGCGGGATTAGCGTAGGCGAAAAGTGCAAGCCGGCTTAATCCCCTAGCCACGCTTGACAGATTGTGTTCCTTTTTTGGACGGCCGACGCAGTGTGCGATAATTTGCGTCGCGGGACTTCGCTCACTGATGAAACTCCAGCTTTGTCGTCCGTTGTTACGTAATAAACACGCCGCAGTGTTAGGAAACTTGCGTGTTGTGGGGGCAGCGTCGGCTTGTCTGCGCGTGTCTGTGTGCATCTATTTAGCTCGTCTTTGCTATAAGTGTGAGATCAGAGTGCAAGTTGAACTTGGGCGCGGACGCATGTGTTGAGTGTAAGTGCCGTGTTGGCGGGCCAGAACAGTCCCCTAGTAAGATACTGCAACACTAGATGACGTTTAAACGCAGTCACGGTATCTCTTTGCGTGGTAGACGTTCATTCTATATAAAATCTCGTCATATTCTTTTCCCGTGTAGCTCCTGTTTTATAACATATGGTCGGTTAAGCGTTTAAACGAAGATAAAGTCAAAGTCGGTTCAAGTCACGATTTGAGTACATTTCACTAGAAATCATTTTGTTACGAACGGAAAAGATGAAGAACAAAGCTTTTTTTTTTAATATTCCCATCGAAACCACAGTGCTCTTACATTAATTTACCACCCTGGTTTTAAAAGCACAGACTCAGATGCTGGATCTGCCTCTGTCAAGAAGCATAACGAAACCAACTACACTAATCGGACAGTTTGTTGCTTTAGGAATGGAGTGTCCATGAATTCAAGAGTCAGATTTGCTGCTCCAAAAGTCTTGCTCTGCTGCACTGTCAGTTCGTCTTTGATTTTTGGTGACTGGGTCTATCCCACATGTAAATTACTTATAGGTAAATATAAAGGCAAACACATACGCGGCTTTCTGATTACTGCTACACTACTGTATATTGATATCCCGGCTGCGGCGGCTGCATTTCCGATGGAGGCGGAAATGTTGTAGGTCCATGTGCTCAGATTTGGGTGCACGTTAAAGAACCCCAGGTGGTCTAAATTTCCGGGGCCCTCCACTACGGCGTCTCTCATAATCATATGGTGGTTTTGGGACGTTAAATCCCACAAATCAATCAAGTGTGTATTGATGGCCTTCAAGACAATCATTCAATAGCCAATTTAGCTGCATGGTATTGTAATGTTCTGATGCTGAGCGAGAGATCTTGTTTGTTCGATGTCCTAGATGCGTTGGCCGCAAGACACTCGCATATCGTTATTTGTAAGTGCGGTAAACAGCGACAACTGGTGAAAATTTGCCGGCATATCGCAAAAGGGCGCTCCTTCTCGCGCTCTTTTGCGACGGGCGGTTTTGTAGATTATAGCAAACCGCCCCAGCTTCCTCGTTCAAGGTTCGCCGCCAGTACCAACGGCTTCGAAAATTGGGTCGATATGAATGCTTTCTTCACTGAGAGAACTTTCTTTCAGAGAAATCCGTATGGATTTTTTCGGAGCTTCGTGTCGCAAACGGGAGCAATATTATTTCCCTTCATAAAGCTTTCGCCACCTTGCGGCATTCCGCATAACTGATACACAATACTTGGGATTTGCGGTTGTGTTAACTTTGTCCTACCTTGTGCAGGTGAGGCTCCAAATAGCGCGGAGGTTTAAATGCCCAGCAGTTTTGAACGTTACCCCCCTTCCACCAGCTGCTGAACTTGTACCTCAGTGCCTCTCCCCCCCCCCCCCATGTATATATATATATATATATATATATGAGTTGATGTGATCGGCTAGGCTTTGACAAGCTTTGATTGCCACCTTTGTTGAAGGGCCAAAACGCCGCATCGGGTTGGATCGTGCTGTCAAGCTATTTCAAGATATGCCGAGCTGATGTATCGTCTGGAGTTCCTCAGGGCAGTGTGCATGGGCCTTTACTTTTTTTCTAATATATATTATTGATCTACCTATTTACCCAACGTCACAAATTAGATTGTTTGCCGATGATTGTGTGTTATACCGACGAGTAACATGTCAAACAGATAGCCAATTATTACAGACTGATTTAGATGTTATGAACACATGGTGTTGAGACTGCGGTTAATGTCATTGAACATTTCGAAAACTAAGCTCATGTCTGTTACTAATAAGGAACGCATACCGAACACCTACTCCCTCGATAACAGTGCCGTTGAACTCGCCACCACATACAAATAGCTTGGCATCAATTTCCAATCAAACTTATCATGAATCGACCACATAATATTACCCACGCCTGTGCTAACTACACCATTGGGCTCCTCGAGCTTATCTTAAAAGAAGCACCGCTGCATGTTAAAAAAACTAGCGTACACAACGTTGCTCCGTCCGAAATTAGAATACGCATCTGCCACCTGGGACCCACAACAAATATATAACATCAATAACATAGAATCCCTGCAGAACCGCGCTGTGCGATTCTTTTTTTGTTTGTTTTCTCATTATTCGCATTGCAGTAGCATGATCTCGTTAAAGAAGAGAGCAGACTTGGTGAACTTAGCACTTGGCCGAAAAATTTCTCGGTGAATACTGTTTCATAAGCTCAATCGTCATCAATCTCTCGACGATGAATTCTTTCAGTCACGGCTAGCAACTATCCCCGTCGTGGTCGTACATATAAAGCCAAACGTATGAACTGCCGGTCTTCACACTATGCGCATTCATTTTTACCTCGCACAATAATCGAGAGGGACACATTACCATGAGACATTGCCACGGAACACAATCGTGCTCATCTGACCACGTAATCATAGTAAGTTAATTATCCTTTTTCATGCCATTTGAGGTGGCCTTCTGGTGAATCCGGTCGATGTGTCATGATGTTTGCGTTTGAACACGATTTTTGTACATTGCTCCTCTCCATTTTATTTGGCAAAGATGTTCACCGACTTTTAAAATGCTTAAAGAAACGAAGCCTCTCCCACCCATGTAATACCCTCGTTATGACGGCCTTTGGTTTTTTTTTTTTTTAATAAATAAATGTCAAGGCCGCGAGAAGGGTGACAGCGCGCGCGCTGAGCATCGTAATGTCACCATTGCGGCAACAAAGACTACTGCATACCAGTGGATGCGAAGGACTAAATATTCAGCGTAGCTGGTTTACTCCTATGCTGCATTCGTATTGTCCGTTCAAGCAGATCACCAATTTCCGTCTAAATGAACAAGTCCTCGAGATATACGCGTGAATTTGCATCATAGATGTCTAGGGTAACTATAGCTCTTCTTAGTGGTCGCTTGCCTATAGTAGGCCGAACTATAGCCATAAATGGTCGCCTCCGTGTTTTTGTCTTCGCGATTTGCATTCAGATAGAATTTTCGACACCATGTTTCCCTTTCACACAACCAGTACGCATTTAGGAGACATGTAATTGATTGAATCATTCATTGATTTATTGATATGTCGGGTTTGACGTCCGAAAGCCACCATATGATTATGAGAGGCGCCGTGGTAGAGGGCTCCGGTGCCTTTGACCACTTGGGGTTCTTTAACGTGCACCCAAACCTGAGCACATGGACCTAGAGCATTTCCACCTCCATCTAAAATGCAGCCGCCGCAGCTGGGATTCGATCCCGCGACCTGCGGGTCAGTAGCCGAGTACCTTAGCCACTAGACCACCACGCGATGTGGTGTAGGAGACATCTATGAAATATCTGAAATTGGCTGAAATGTTCGGCGACTGTTAGTGACGTGGCACGAAACGAGCGTTCATTCTGTGTTCAGTCGCTTTAAATTGCGCCTACAAAGCATGGTGTGGCCTGAGCTAATTTCCGCTAGCAGCATTTATTTCATCACGCGAGCCACTTCGAATTCAGTGTTGATGTGGCAAAAAAGTTTATGGTTTGACATTCGCTTTTATGGTTGACTGCCGAGTGACACAACTCATCATGCGGCGTTAATAATCGCTGATTGATTCTTAAATTTGGCGAGCCATAATGCGGTGCTCCACAATTAGCACCCGCATTCTTTCTCATACGCCAATCAGCAAGTGCGGTTAAGGCGATGACCTAACAGAATGCAGCTTACTGATCACTCTAATGCGCATTTCACTAGAAAGTTCGCTTGATGCATTTTTTTTAAAACGTCATATTTTCAGAGGGGAATGATGTTTGTTCAGGTTTAACATCCCATAACTGCGGTATGATTATGAGTAAGGCTGTTCTTGAAAGCGCATTTGAATCTACGTAGGCAGGCTTCACGGATTTTCGCCTAGACCGAAAATGTAGCCGCCGCGGACGGGATTCGAACCCACAATCTTCAAGTCAGCCGTTAAGCACCATGATCGCTGCACCACTGTGAATTGCTTTTTGCAGAGGTTGTCTAGCGGCCCTTTAAAACCGAGTCTGAGTTCAGCGAATCAGGCTACCCTCAGAACGGCTGACGTCGATGGCATCGTGATCAGATTTGAACACTGCCAATAAATGGTATCGCGAAGAATCCACGCTGTAAGCACGCAGCACAGGACGACACTCACCTGCGCGTCGTTCACTGTGACAGCATCCTCGCGTCGCGGCAGTGTCCCGCGCCTCCGGGGAGAAGCCCTCGGCGTCCTTGACAGCTGAGACGCCGGAGCGCGCGCCAACGCGCGCGAATGAACTCGAATGCGACGCGGCACACGTGCGATTCGACACGCTACGCACGTAGGGAACAACACGATCCGGTAGTCGAGAAGTGCTCCCCCCTTTCGAAACGCGCGCACAAACAACACTGATCACGCACACTTGTTGTCTTTGCTTCCCCACGAACAGCGTCGATTCTCCCGAAGTAGGCGCGAAGACGATCAGACAAGCGCTGTGTTGGAGAGCTTTTCTTCTTACACTCTCATGCACGTACCGCAAGCGTCGCGCCAATATCGGGAGCAGGCACCTCACAGACGGCCGACTACGGTTCAGTGTGGCGACGCCTGTTATCCGCACAGACGCAGGTGACTAGGGCAGGACCACGCCGAGATATCGGTGGCGAGCGGCGACGGCTATCCGCACCCGGCGACGACGTGATGCACTTCGGCCGGTCTCTCGTCTCGTCGGAAGGGCTTGCCTGCCGCGGCCGGTGTCGTCGTTTTTTCCGGCGAGTCTGTAGTGAGGCCCTCGTGGGGCTTTCTGTTTTTTTCTTTGCGATGCCTTCTTTTCGGCTGTTACGCCGGCGGATCGCTCGGTGAAACCGGCTGCGCTGCAGGAGAGGAGGACTGAACGTCGGCGCGTGCTCTCGTTGTTCGGAGAGGAGAAGCCGTGAAAGAGGGTGAGAGAGAAAATGGAGAAGAGAAAGCCGTTTCACTTCCTTCGAGGGGATGCGACGCCTCGTGCCGGTACGCGCGCAGCTTCTGAACCTCGGCGCGCCGGTGGAGAACTGCTTTCGCACTGGAGAGCCGCGCGAGCAGTGTGACTGGTTCTAGCGATGACCGAGAGGCGGAGCCACATCCTGGGGACACTGGAAGAGGAAAGCCTCGGGGGCTCTTCAGTTGTGAGATTCGAGGGAGTACCGCTCCGTCTGTTCTCTTGAAGCAGAGGTGGCAAACTTATTCCGAAAAAAAGTAACTAAAAAATTACACTACTAATGTCACTTCCAAAAATGTTCTCATGCAGTGGAATTGAGCTAAAATTAGCATTTGGTAGGAAGTAACGGCATTATATTAATATGACTGTCGAGAGGGGATGATAATACTTTGAAATTACTTCAACGCGAATTCGTTATCTGTACACTACTCATGTGTTTTTAACTTGCAGCACATATACACATTGAAATCTTGCAAACCTCTCAGCTTCCCAAGTTTGAGCTTTGGCACCCACGAAAACTTTTATTTATATTTGTGTGTACCTTTCTGTTTAACATATTATGCCAAAAGGCACGCAAATGCGCTATATATTAGTCAAAAGCCATTCGGAAAATCATAAATAATTTTCGTCAAATAACTTTCTTGAGGATGTCTTGAGGATTTCTATGACTTCTGCAGAGCAAGAAATAAATGATTGAATAAACTAGTAAAAAGTCAAAACTTAAGTAAATAAATAACTAAATAGGCCTTTTCACCATGCTCATCACATGTGGTATCTCGGGGAATTTTTTCCAAGTAGAAAATCATGCCATGTGTTGTATATGACGTCAAATTTTTCATGCAAAATACTGAATATAGGTGACTTGCCCCCCTCCCCCCCAAAAAAAGAGAGAGGGGGGCGCAGTATATTTGCTACGGTAGCTTCGTTGCAGTATTTCGTGTTGGCGGACGGAAAGTCATCTGCTAAACAATGCTTAAAGTTGAAGTCGGGAATGGCTCATTCTAGGAAAATTCCGACGTGGAGGGAATTGAATTCCTAACACGCGTATCCATGATGGCGTGATGGTCTTTCGTAGCGCCGTGACCTATGCTACAGGGCACATGAAGGATGCCCACAGCGTTCCGGGGACTGCTGTTACCTACACAGTCACACCCACAATACTCAAGTGTGACAGAAATGCCATTTTTATAACCGATTATTGATATAAACAGGTTCTACGCAGAAGAAAAATAGCTAAATAGGGACACTGTGGTCTACTGCGTGAAAACTATGATATCGGATGGGGTATACCAACGGACATCAGTGGTAATGATGAAAGAACTGCCAATTTTTTGCACATGCCTAAATGTTTAAGCGTTTTGACGGGACTACTAAGAACACCAAAGACCCAACGTTTGACAATGTCTAATGTTTTAGACGCTACAACTCCGAAAAGTCAACTTTTTGTTTAAATTCCATTTCCGAAAGGGCATTAACAAATACCTCCGCCGTAGTGGCTTTGCCGCATTGCGACAGCACTATGGGGTAAAGCATAACTTAAACTCGAAGGGGTGCTGGGGGACATTTGGTATGTGGGTGGGAGTGAGGCGCGTCGAGTTTCTGATCTTCTTTATTTTTTTGAATATTTCACGTTCATATACGGACACGCATCAACCAGAATTCATTGTTAACAACAAAACAAAATGTCATATATTTGCCACAAAGGCGAGGTAATGGACGAGATAGCAACAAATTAGAAGGTCACACGCAGAATGGAAAGCAGATCAAAACGTGCCCTGCGTTTCTCATGTGCCTATGACGCGCGAAACGTACTCACAGGTACATTGAGCGCGAACAAGCGTTTCAGTTGTTACTTCGCAGGTCTGAAAAGCGCGCGCTTTTCGCAAACGTATACTTCTATGACTGCAGTGATCTTTGCTCGCCCGGTAACTACAACAGAATCGTGCCAGGTAAATCCCGAGGCCAGCCAAGACGTACGATCCTCCTCGCGAGATAAGGGTGCGCGAGGGAGCCTCGCCTCCCTGCTCTAAGCGGGGCAAAGCACGCACGCGTGGAAGATTAGAGCGTGCGCCGTCGCGCGAAGTCACGACGCGCGCTCATTGCGCCATCTTGCTGGTAATGCTAAAACATGATAATCCCTCCCCTTCCCCCCCTCCCCCCCGAGTCCGGTCAGCAGAGGTGTGTGGTAGATATAAATGGCTTGGCGTTGAAACGTTAAAGGAGGTGCTCCTCGGTGGCTCAGTTGTTAACGCCTCGCATTCACGACGCAGAGGTCCCCTACCTTCGATTCCGCACGCCGGAGTCTTTTCAGTATTTTTTCTTTCTTGCGTTTTTGCACATATATACGTATACATATGCGGTGAGTGACGGCGACGTCGAGGCTGGTGGCAAAATTCAAGCAAGAGTGTCCATAAATTTGCTATCGCAATGAAATGCGGTGGAGGCATTGCATGAGCAGGTTATCTCTCCGTAGATAACATTTAAGTCGCTTCCTATTTTTATAATGGATGTATATTGTAAAACCCGGCATCGTTATAAGTAGGTTCAACTGTATTAGCAATAAGACTTAACGCTCACGTCAGGCGGGAACATTGCGCAACGCGAAATAGATAGATAGATAGATCGATAGATAGATAGATAGATAGATAGATAGATAGATAGATAGATAGATAGATAGATAGATAGATAGATAGATAGATAGATAGATAGATAGATAGATAGATAGATAGATAGATAGATAGATAGATAGATAGATAGATAGACAGACAGACAGACAGACAGACAGACAGAGACAGACAGACAGACAGACAGACAGACAGACAGACAGACAGACAGACAGACAGACTCACTCCAAGCTTCGCTTGCGCACGTTTTCCCAATCATCAAAAGGCTCCGTTTTTTTTTTTCTTTTTATAAAGCCTCGTTATCTAAAGACCACTTTTGGTCCTCCAACAAAAATCTGAAAACGTTAGTAAAGGATTTAGGTGGGAGCTTTGAAGTACTGATTGGCCAAAAAGTCCGGTGATGTCACCCGCGGCTTCGACCGGCGGTGGTATGAAGAGAAATGGCACTAAACTTCTCGCAAGGGTAAATACAAACATAAAGTTGTCACGTGGCTATGTGAGCTCAATTTGAATTAAATTAAACGTGACTCAAAAAAGAATCAATGAAGATTCTTAAGCGGGGAAGAACGACAAATGAAGTGACATCAAGTGGCAAATGAAGTCCATCATTGACGGATCATGCTAATGAAAGGTTAATGAGGAGTGGAACCTCAATGGAAGTCTCAATGGAAGTCTTAGTCAACGTACATTGACACATTAGAGCGAATGAAGAGGTGTTGAAATGAATATTTTTTCTAGTGTTCAAATTTTAATTATGAAATTCTTTCTACCTTTCTGTAATCAAACACAACTTTCTCTTCGTCACTTGTAAAACCACTCACTTACAATTTTGCATAATCATACAACAGCTGCTTGTTTTCAGACTTAACTTGCAACTACCTGGTTGTTTCCCGTTTTCGCAGCACTACTTTTCTTCTTAAGACAGAAGTTCAGGTGACGATGGAAGATGGAAGAGACTGAAAATTCCTGCACTCAGGGTGTCGCTGGAGCTGACGTTTCGAGTAGTGGTCTTGTCTTCCTGTATGCTGAAACTTCAAGTTACAGCTTTGAAGTTGCAGTGGCAGTTGCTTAACAGTTGCAGCCTCGAAAAAAAAGTCACAGAATATCCACGGAGTGACTGATGATGGCTGGAGCGTAGCTTCAGGTGGTATTATCTCTGTCTGTCTGTCTGTCTGTCTGTCTGTCTGTCTGTCTGTCTGTCTGTCTGTCTGTCTGTCTGTCTGTCTGTCTGTCCGTCCGTCCGTCCGTCCGTCTGCCCGCCCGTCCGCACCTACTGAGTGAGTCATAGAACTAGGTGGTTACGTACCAAAAACGTACTAAAACTAGATACGAGGGATTGACCGAACCACGGCTTTAGGAGCTTCGCCCCTAAAAACATGACCGATTGCTAAAACTTCGGCTCCAGCAGCACCCTATGTTCAAGAATTTTTCATTACGTCTGTTCAAAGCCTCGCTGGCTTGTGAATAAACCAGCAAGACAATAGTCTAGTCATTGATCCCTTTGAAGCGCCGTTTTAGGCCTTCCGTGCCCTTGGCAGATATCGGGAACGTAATTGGAGAGTTGGGCTCGAATTGGCGAGCTTTACTGGGGAAGACGCGCCACTAAGATTTGTTATCGCGCGTGGACTCGCGAGAAGTATGCCGCCTCATCGAGTGCTATATCTGCTGCGCCCTTCGGCGATGACATTGGAGCGAGGCGAATTGCGCCGCCTTCGCCTTGTCAGCGACGCCAAATGGAGAGAGATTTACCCTTCAATATCGACCACGGAGATCTGCATCGTCGCGGCGGTGCATTCGGCGAGCGCCGCATCTTCCGCGCTCATTCTAGCGAGGTCGCTAGCGACATCTAT